TAGCCAGCGGCAAGTCATGAGGTGCTAATCGTCTTATCCGTCTACGTACTCCATCAGTTAACAATCGGCACGGAGATTACGCCACACCGACCGTCTGATATTTACACAGCCCGTTACCGTCCGCAGCCGGACTGATTTGCTGTGCTCGTGCGTATCTTCCTGCTGGTCGGTAGCCGCCGCCGGCCGTGCAGAGGTCGGGCCGATCTGCTGTGATCGGGTGTATCTGCCTGCTGATCGGTAGCCGTGCAGAGGGCCGTTTGCGCCCATCATCTCACCACGCCCCTGGGACGGTCCGACCAGCCGTCCCGGCCCTGAACTGGATCTGAACATCACAACTCGCCGCGCCGCAAGATTCACGCCGCATTTCGCAACTACTCGCTGCATGGGGGGTTCGAACTGGGGCTGGCTGCTGTCTCTATGGGTGGTGTTCTTGCGACAAAGGGTGTCCCCCCCCCGCTGACCGCCCCCGCCCCCCCCCCCCCCCTCTCCGCTGACCGCCGCCGCCCCCGCTGCCCTCCAGCCGCGAGGATGGGAGCGGAGCGTCAGCGCCGGACTGGGACTGACCGCCGCCGCCCGACTTCCCTGGCCCGGAGCTATAGGTCACCTGGACGGAGCTGCGTCGGACGTCTGTCGGCACCGCGGCCACCACAGACGGCCGGAGACGGCTGTACCGACACAGCGCCACCGAACCCGCCGCCACGGCTCCGCCCCCGGCCGGGAACGCTGGTCACGCGTGCCGTTCTCGCTCCCAGGGTCTGTTCTCGCCCAGTTTCGGCACACGGACGATGTTCCCATGTAGAGCGAGCGAGCCCCGCCAGCGGCGGTAGGGGAGCCCGCCAGTTGCGTGCCACGGGACGACAATGGTTTGACCCGAGAAGGTATTGGACAATGCAGCTCGTAATGGCGCAAGTAAATATCAGCGGACAGGTGTTTCAATGGGCTCGTAATGGTGATGTTTTACTGTGTGGGTAAGTAATGCATGAATAAGTGTGGAAATGACATTGATGGGTAGGTAAAGGGGAGTTGGACTTGCAGCATTTTAATGGCCAATGAATGTCGATGGGTGCAAAGACACTCACTGGCGGGCGTTGGTTGTCGGGTCGGGACTCACGTTAATTGCTCACAGCTGCGTGTTTCACTGTTCTTGCGTCCTCTTTGTATTGTCTTGTGGCTCATCAAAATGACTGAGCGTTGCACACTTGATGCGTAATAAACTTGTTCAGAACGAGCTCTGCCGTATAAAATGATGACATAATATCGTGGTGCGCATTGCATTTCTCTTGTCAATTGGGACATCACGTGCGGGCGACAGAAGCCATTCATTTCAGATACCTTCCCGTATGTACGCCCAATTGTCAGGAACCTTTCAGCTAGCGATCGGGCGGGTCTGAGCTCAGGTCAAGAGATAGATACAGATAAAAGTTAAAGATATAGCAGCATTTTTCATTCCACAGCCCGCTGTCAAATTTGGAAACTGTTTCATCCATTATTGATTACGAGCGAGCGAGCGCAGCGAGCGAAGCGAAGTCTTTTTACGGAGCGAGCGAAGCGAGCGTAGTCTTTCCTTAGGTTAACGGAAATTTCTGAGTATAAGCGGCCGGCCGGCCGGCCGGCCGGCCGTGGTCACGCTTTTGCGAGGCTTAGGGTGAAGTCGTATAAGAGTACGCACTTAGTGGATTTCTTGCTCTCATTTGTTTAATATTTGAAAGAAAGAAATCGCAAAGAGGGAATATTAAAGTTAATTGAATTAGTCATCAACCCATGGGGCAACGATCCTTCAGCGTAAACGGAAGTGGTCTAAAACTGACATTTTCTGAACCGCTACAGTTGCGTACTCTTACCATACGGGGTGTGTAAGAGTACGCACGCCAGGCGGGTGGAGTACGCAACCATATGAACACACACCTATGCAGCTTGTTCTGTCCAAATGCTTAACTTCAAACTCAGAAGGCATTTAAGTTAATTCTAGTATCCAAAAAGAAAAACATAAAATAAATCTTTCAAGTCTATAAATCAGGAAATAATCATGTCGTGTGTTTCTTAAAAAAATGCACAATCAAAAGGGAGAATAACTCGTAGGTATTTGGAAGAATTTCGGGTACGCATCTGCATCACAATGCTCCATTGATGATATACCTACAAAACAAACGTCATTGAGCGATAGATTAATAATTTTATATTTCTGTATATACGATTTAATGTATAATTCTGCGTACTCTTACCCTCCTGAACAGTGCGTCCTCTTACCGTACATGCAATTCGCGCACAAAACAACCCCGAAACGTTGTGCAAAACTTCGCAAACAGAATATTGCACTGCACAGTATTTCCCCAGATAACCTCACAAGTTTCCCACAACAATCACGGAAACGTACCTTATCTCAACTGCCAAGTATCAAAATTATTGTACCATACCGTAATAATATCATAACGCTCGAAAATAATATTCATCGCCTTAAACTCAACAGCGTCGCCGCTCAACGCCCACGTTCCGTTGGTGACAAGCACGCACTGGCGGCTTCATGTCACTTCATGAACTCGACAAACCCGCGTTGCTAAGCAACCGAAACAGCTGATGCGTACTCTTATCGCCCGCGTACTCTTACCCGCCCTTACCCTATATCTCAGCAACCACTTGACCGATTTACACGCGGTAATTTTTGTAGGGTAGCTTCATTTCTTCTACCAAGTATTAGACTATTCCTGATGCATGTGGGTGACCCCTTATGCACGTGCCACGTGCAAAACGAAGGTGTGTCCGTTTTGTAATTGTTGCAATATCTCGGTAACTACTTGGCCGATTGCGCTGAAAGTTGGCATGTAGGTAGGCACCCACTAGGCACTGCATATCCATGTGCCAGAGTTGGGGTGCTGCTGCGCGTGCGCACGTGCAGGGGTCGTTTCCAGATCTCGAGAACGGCTCGACCGATTGCGCTCAAATTTGGTACACAGTTAGGGACCGTTTAGTAGGGTGCCGTGCACAAGTCAGTTGGGACCCATTTTGCACGTGCGCACGTGCAGGGTGCCGATTCCAGATCTCGAGAACGGCTGGGCCGATTGTGCCCAAATTTGGCACGTCGCTAGAGACCGGTTAGTAGGGTGCCGTGCATAAGTCAGTTGGAGGTACCCCCTCGCAATTTTGCACGTGCAAGGCCCACCCTCTCGCTCGCTCCGTTAGTCGCCCCAAAAGGCGTTATACTGGTCAATATAACGGAAAAATCTCAGTATGAGCGGCCCGGCCCGGCCCGGCCCGGCCCGACCTGTAACGCTTTTGAGAGGCTTATATCTCAGCAACCGCTGGACCGATTGGCCTGCAGTCTTTTTTGCTGGGTAGCCGCATCCCTTCTACCCCGTAATTGACTACTTTTGATACATCTCAGTGACCGTCGTGGCACGTGCCACGTGAAAAGTCAAGGGTGTTCCAGCAGATTAGCAAAAGTAATGAATTTGAGAGGCCCATATCTCAGCAGCGGCTTAAGCGATTGTCTTGCGGTCATTTTTATAGTGTAGCTGCATCCCTTCTACCAAAGGTCGGATACTATTGATCTATGTGAGTGACCCCCACTGCACGTGCAAAATACAAAAAGAAGAGGTGCCAAATTTGTTCCCATTTCAGTAACTCGGTAATTACTGGGGCGATTTCGCTGAAACTTGGCATACAGGTAGGCACTCACCAGGCAATGCATTCCCATGTGTTGCGGTTAGGGTGCTACTGCACGTGCGCACGTGCAGGGGGCGTTTCCAGATCTCGAGAATGGCTAGGCCGATTGCGCTCAAATTTGGTACACGGTTGGGGACCGGTTAGTAGGGTGCCGTGCAAAAGTCATTTTGGACCCCGTTTGCACGTGCGCACGTGCAGAATGCCGCTCCCAGATCTCAGGAGTGGCTGGGCTGATTGCGTTCAAATTTGGCACACCGCTAGCGACCGGTTAGAAGGGTGCTTTGCACAAGCCCGTTGGAAGTACCCTCTCGCCCTTCCGCACGTGCAGGGCTCACTATCTCGCTCGCTCGTTCTTCGCCCAAAAGGCGTTTTACTGGTCATATGTTATCTCAATGCCAATCGACATACTTCTCGTGAGAGAGCCCTGCCTGGCTATTTTCTCGGTAGTTATTGGTATGTTCATTGTCTAGCCACCATGGCTCTACGGTCGCAGGTCGATTCCATCTTAATTGTCCCATCTGTCCTTCCTAGCCCGCTTCATTCGGCTAGTTATTTTCCCATCCCTGCCTCCCGTCTCGTCCCTTCCTCCAGTATACCGTCCCTTCCTCCCGTACCGTCCCTTCCTCCCGTTTCGTCCCGTCCTCCCGTATCGTCCTCTCCTCCATTATCGTCCCTTTCTCCTACCTCGTCCCGTCTACATGTGACTGTATACCACCCGTCTGTGTGCCTATCCGCCCATCCGCGACACGTCTCTCCGTCTAGTCGTCCATCCTGTTCGTCCCGTCCCGTCCTGTCCCGTCCCTCCCATCCGGTCCTGTTCCACCCCTCCCGTCCCGTCCTGTTCCACCATCCCGTCCGGTCCTGTTCCACCCTCCCGTCCCGTCCTGTCCCGTCCCTCCTGTTCCACCCTCCCGTCCCGTCCTGTTCCACCCTCCCGTCCCGTCCTGTTCCACCCTCCCGTCCCTCCCGTCCCGTCCTGTCCCGTCCCTTCCGTTCCGCTCCCGTCCGTCCTGTCCTACCCTCCCGTCCCGTCCTGTCCCGTCCCTCCTGTCTCGTCCTGTTCCGTCCCTCCGGTCTCATGCCGTCATTCCGCGTCCCGTCCCAGTCCTGTCTCGTATGTATTTACCTGTCATCCGTCCTCCCTCGTGCCCATACCGTCAATGTCACCTCGTCGGTCCGTCTCGTTCGTCTGCCCCTGCCCTTCACGACTAGTACAGTCGGTCTGGACCACTCTCACCGCCCCATAAGACGACCTTGACCGTGACGCCGTGTCCCGGTCAGTCAGTGACGTCACAGGAGCGTACGTCGGCAGACAGTGCGCGGACCGGCCGCGGAGGCAGGCAGTCAGTCGAGCGGGCTCGACTCGAGAGCGAGGTAGGCAGCAGGCGAGCCTGGCCCGGTCCGCACGTGACAGCTCGTGTGGAGATTGCACGGGTTGCACGGTGACACTGTGGGGAAGGCGTCTGCACACCACAGACCTTCCCGCCGCGACAAGTTAGCGGCTTGTGCTTGGATTGTAGTCTCCGCAACAGGTAAGAATGCCGGAGGTTTGGGTCTACTAAACTTTATTTTCCTGCGGATTTATTCTAATTTGCGCTTCATTTGTACCTATTGACAGTGCTGTTTTGTGTAGTAAAGGCACGCACATTCATGTTTTCAACCAATTGCATGGCTAACCTATTCCTATACGTTAACTAGGGAGTACTTAAATCAGTGTAAGGAAATTGAGCACGGGCAAAGAGCTATATAGTTTTGCTTACATAAAATTGTTAACATCGTATTTTTTTTAAAGTTATCCATAAGAACCGAAATATAGGTAGGGTAGACCTTGGGTTTGATCATTTCAGTCAATAATTAGCAAATAAAAATAAAAACAAAAAACCAAAATATGTATTTTAAGGACGTCAGCATGTCTTGCGAAAGATACATAACCAACGCAGCCATGAATGACATTTAAGAATAATGTCCTCACTCGAGTCGATTTTTAACTTACCGGTAAATCGAGCAAATACTGCATCATTGCATCATTGGACATTTTTTTTATTTTAACTGTTTTTAGCTTTGTGTTTTAACGTAAAGTGAAAGGACATTTTCTGTCGTTTAACGAGAGTATTTGCTAGAGTCGTTGAATGTCCCGAATTAAGGTCACGCCTTTGCTCAAGTCGAACCCAATCAGAGTGGTAAGCACTGCAGCAGAATCCAATTGCCCTTACAACTATTAGGGAGAAATGCAGCATCATATGTTATCCTCCAGGTACTTTTGCAGCTTGAGCAATAAATATTTCCAATACTTGATCCGGTGATAAATGAAGAGATTACCTTTCATCAAAGACGTTAACAAAACGTCTAGGAAAACAGCACTTGATATAAGCGAATTGAGTCGATAGAGCTCCTGAGTTTCGCTGTTATGTGCCTAATTCAATTATTTTTCAAGGCAGGAGCTATTCCCAAATTCCATATGTAAGTGCAGAGTCACAAAACATACCAATAATCCCAGCACAAAGACCATTTCTCCCCACATTTCCCAAAAGTGGATGACTGGTTTGTTTGGAATGGTCGTGAGGTGTTTTTCGTGCTTGTGCCGCGTTTGTTGTCGATCCCGTATCCCGTAAACCGTTCTTCCCGCCCGCCACCGTTCCTCCCGCCCGCCTTAGCTGGCAGCGTGTGCCTTGTTCCGGTATCACAAGTACACCACATCCGTGCCCCGGTATGAGTGCTGTATCCCTATTTCGTTTATATGCTAATACGCCGAAGTTCTTGAAATTAGAGTCACATCAGTTATTCATCAGATTTCCAGTATTGATAATGGCCCGCAATTTGCTGCACAAATAAATAAGAAGATATAAATGGAGGTTGCTAGAAAAAGGACACTGAGTTCTCTATTGATGAATATATGTAGTATTTTAATTACCCTGCATTTGTTCGGCCTGGTAACGCGCTCTTGTGACATTGGATTTTAGGGCACTTTAACGATGATTGCGTATCTTTAATCACATAAATGATAAAAGAGTTTCAAGAATGCGATGAATTGGTTGGCTAGTTAAAGGCAATTAATACTGGACTTGTGACAGATGGCCGGATAAGCTACTCTTAGTTTGCATAGGAAGGGACGCTTTTATCATCGTTCCTCCTTGCATTGGATTTGGGACTTTCTAGTCCTAACTTGCATATTGTTCATTTTTTGCATTGGTAAATTGTCCAAATATATCGTGAAAGCTGACGATATCTGAAGCTCGCAACTCGAAGAAAAACGTGAAGAAAAGAAAAAATCACAAAAAATATGATGTAGGTATAGTAGTTCAATAACAACGTAATCTGCCGACGCCGATAGATCATAAGAACGCCGATAGATCATGAATATTATTAGGTTACAGATCGTTTTTAGTGCACTTTACCGGAAAGTTTACCATGATTAATGCGAAACCCTCTCAGCTCAGATTGTCAAATGGCACCAATTTCGCGCGGGTAGCCTAACGGTGGCGGTTTCTGGTTCTGCTTTACTAGTGACACAGTCGCTGAGCTCGTGCACTGCCGTACGTACGGGAGAGAGCGAGCGAGCCGTTTGCTATGCACGGGAGCCGTTATTGGGCCCGCGCCAGTCACTCGAAATGGCGTGCACGAGATACCGGAGTACCGGCACCGTGTTCAGGACGGCTGGGTGTGCAGTGTGCAGCTCGGGGCAGACACACGCCACCCGAGTGATACACGGCCGACCGACCGGCCGACCGACCGCGACACCGCCGGTACCCGCTAACACAGGCGTGACCGCAAGCTGAGCCGCGTGAGACGATCAGCTGATCAGAGGGGCACGGGGAGCTCAGCTGATCAGAGAGTTGATCAGCTGATCAGAGGGGCACGGGTGGTTATCAGAGGGGCACGGATGATTGGCTGGTTGAGACGCAAGAGCTACAATTGGTTAAGATAATCACGACTTGCAAAGTCGTGATTAAGTCCATGCCATCAGCATGGACAACATTGATAACATTGCATACAATGTCCACATTGCTAATACATGAAAGATCAACTAAATCTCGATGAAGGGTTGCTCGATTGATTGCACATCAGAGCAACAACCTAGCACAAGCCAGTTCCGGTAGTGCATGACAATTCTTGGAGTACCTCGACGAATGCGGAAACTTAGGAACCTCTTAAGATTTTCACTGTCATGTGTTCCAGCTAATACAATCAGGTTTCACAGATCTGTTTCTCACCAAGCAAGCTATTTCCTGATCACCCAAATCAGCGTTTGCAAATGCTGGTTCGTGTCCAGTCTTCCATGATCCTCCCACGCCTAGATTAAACCCACGTCTGTCTGACTGTCTGACAATCAGTCTGTCTGTCTGACTGTTTGACAATCAGTCTGTCTGTCTGTCTGTCTGTCTGTCTGTCTGTCTGTCTGTCTGTCTGTCTGTCTGTCTGTCTGACAGTCTGTCTGCCTGTCTATCTATGTGTTTGTCTGTCTGGTGACCAATATCTCTGTGTCAGGTCCGCGTCTCTCTGCCTGCCGCAGCGATGGCCCTCTGCCTGCCGTCGGCCAAGCTCCTGCGCCGCCAATTCGTGCTGCTGGTGGTGTGGAGTTTGGCCTGCTACGGTCTATACAGGTGAGCCCTCGCCCCACCGGAAGGCGTACACGGCGTCTGTGCATGGACCGCCTCCGCCGTTACCCGGCGCGGCGCCCGCCGGCCGGAACTGGAACTGGGGTCACTGACTGACGCCGTGGGCGAGGTTGGGACCTGACCGGCGAGACGGCACTCCGGCCGGCGAGCCAGGCCTGTCGAAGAGAAATGGGCGAGTCTGCGCCCTGCAGCTCCGGCCAGCGAGCAATGGCAGCCCTGGGCACGGGGCTCCGGCTGGCTAGACGGAGCGAATGGCGAGACGGGGCGAACTGGCGCCCCGATGATCTGGTTCACCGCCTGCGTTATCCGAACGGCTGCCTCCTCGGAACAATATGATCTATGTTTTGTTAGTTCCTGATTCACCTAGTTGGAACTTCATTTTCAATGTGCAACTGCATTACACGACGAATAAAATTGCGGCGTGATCAACATTTGATGAATGAATGCGCCTGTTTTACTTCAGTGTGGCATCGACGTTTTTCTGTGTGGTCTACCTTGCTAGATATTTATTGTGCATTTCCCTCATTTAGCTGATTTTGCAAGATTCAGTGGTTTCAAAGGGGCGTATAACATACCTAACGGAGAATGCTTCAACAATCCGGCGTATCCAAAAGACCCGCAAACCATGTCATTTAAGAGACAAGCGGTGAAAGGAAGTCATCCTAATCCCAGACGTCTAATGGCTGTCTTCAGACGACCTCGGCTCTGAGATGTGTGAGTTCTGAAATGGAATGTCGGCTCCGCCGTACAATAGGTCCCGCAGCACTCAGTGATGACAGGCTCGGTAGAGGTTCATTCATCAGACATCACCGCATTGACAGTGAAGACCTGAACGGAGTCCCAGTCAGTGCCTCGGGGAAGGTGAAGATCGCTTCGACCTACATTTATTCTCATCATTGGTATTCATGCCAATGATAAGCTACGGCTTATGCAGTCTATGAGGAGGTAAAGTACCAAGTAGAGCCTTAAGTGTACCAAGTAGAGCCTAAAGCGAACAAGCAGAACTGTCTCTCCAAGTGCAGGGACTCAACAGAGCTGTCGCCTGTCTGTGTCTAAATACGGCATTGGACTGGACAGGTCAGCCAGCTAACTTGGACAGTGGACACGTCAAGCTTGGATACCTATCAGTACCAAAAAGCAAAAAGCAAATGACCAAGTGAGTGTGGATGCATGGATAAAGGCTAATGAAGAATACAGAATTAAAGAACTCCATATTGAGCTAATAAACCGGTTAAGAAACACAGACCGGTGATGCACGGCTGAAGAAATAGAACAAAGGCGACTATCGCCGGCCGATTCTCATCTAATTCCCAACAGGAGTCCGTCAGAGTTGCGTATTGTCCCCGATCGGCACCGGTCCAATCCATTCCTGTCCTGCCTCACGCTGATATCAGGCCCAGAGATGCTCCATAAATCATAAAAGCAGACCATGCCTCCCAGCGCCACTGAAACCAGTCGTGTCGAAAACATTCTTCGCACGTAACCTAACCGCACATGGTCACGACTCGTATTGTAAGACATAGAAAAACACGGCCAGCTAATGTCACCGCGGACGGCGTCACGGCGGACACAAGGCCACGCTTTGAAGACGGCTGTAAACGACGTGCCGAGTGATTCCTGAACCGATCCGCCGAAGGACGAAAAACTAGACAGTCTGAGGCATAGGTACTGCATTTATGGGACTATGGTTTATGGATTACAAGTCGGAGCAAATGGACTTTGTCCGCCGACGATGGGCAATTTGGCCCCGCTGACACCACACCCCTCAATGTGAAGGACAGAGGACATCTCTTGACCAACGGGGCACCGTTCGACCCTGCCTCCTGAGTCGGCCCATTGCGTCATCCGGTCGCCGGTTTCTCAACGGCCCACCCTATACCCGCCATCACCGCACAGTGGGCCGATATGCCATTCTAGCGCGACAGGGCCTGAATCTTCGAACGGAACCCTTGGTTTTTCGCGAGTAATTCGCGTAAAAAGCGACCGATCGCAACGAAACTTTCAGTACCTACCCTCGCGATAACTACTTTTATAGCTAACCTGAAAATTTCATTAACCTGACCTTAATGATCTTTGACCTGTGACCTTCTTTCGAGACCATGTTTGGCCGGAATCGCGATTCGGCGTATGTCGGCTCGCATTAGCCGCGGGTTTGCAGTCTTTTCTTGGTTTAAAGCGTTCAAACATGGGATAATATGTTGCTCCCATGCATTAGGGCGGGTGTCAAGGTCACCAGAAGGTCAGGTAAGGTCATGGACCTTTGATGACCTTGGTTCACTTTTTTCGAGTTTTACATGTTTCTAGGCTAGTTTTTGGAGCTGAATTCGAATCTAGCAACCATTTGAGCATTTACTATGTAGCTTTGGTGCCTTCGTAACATGGTACAAAGCTGTCAGAGGCGGTTGCCACCTACTGCAAATACCCGGCAAAACCCTTACTGGTTGACCTGACCTGACCTGGCCCGACCTGGCCTAAATGTATGAAGACATCATCTATGATCGTAAATAACATTATATTCGTGATCAGCACCCAAAAAAACCATAGCAGCCACCCTTTACGACGTTCTAACAGGTCCCGATTTTCCCGACTTTTGGATCATTGACCTGACCTGGAAGGTCAACCGATGACCTAGGAACTTACAATTGAGTATCATCAGCTTCCTCTTGTCACGGGCAACACGCTCGTCTTTTCCGCGAAGCTCTAGCTCGATCAGGGGCGAAACGGCGGGGGGGGTCCCACAGACCCCTTCTATACGTTCGCGGCTGGAAAAACACCACTAGGGGCGAGGGTAAGCCAAATCTGAGGGCTTATTTCAGAAAGACCGCTAAAAGAGCAATTGAATGCACTTTTCCGCGATGATGTAGCTCTATTGGTCCCTGAGGTAAGGGCCGGTTTTCGAGAAATGTTGATATATGCAACATTTTACCTTCGATGACCTCTGGTGACGTGACCTTTGACCTGACCTAGAAATGACTAATTACTTCATCTGGAATTTTGGGCGCTCTTTCGAATGCCACTTACTACGTGTCGCTATGTGGCCCAAGAGCCGAGTTAGAAGGGGGAGTGTTCAATCAACACCTCCCGGCCCGGCGCGTTTGACGCCGAGCACCGGTCCGGCGCAGGTTGATGTTTGGCTGCTACATCCAAAGTCGCAAAAAGTCGCAAAAAATGACTGTTGTATCTTGTAGTGCAATGACTCATTGACATGTCGCGAGATTTTCGAAGCGGTACTCTGCGGTACTTTTTTTAAAAGTCTATTTGTGTGTGACATCAATTATGTGAAATTATATTTTCGTCTTTAAATCTTTGCGGTGCCAATACATCATAACCAAGTAAGAGTTCGCCATTTTCATGTGGTTATGTGTGTTCTGCAAACCCGGAGCTATCGTTTGATGTATATAAATGTGGAATTCCTCCTCAAATTGTGATTGTTTTCGTGGATCAAAGATACGTTGTCGAAGAGTGCGGGGGACGAGTTCGGTCCAAACGATTCCGAAGCTCGTGTTTAAGCTGAGTTTTCGCCATGAAATAGCAATTGTGTTGGAAAACAAAGACCACAGCAATGTAGTATGATCATTTTTGAACAAATTGGTATAGGTTTCATTGCACATCCACAAAGTTCGATTTTTTACCCATGTCGTGCTAGACCTGGCGATCGGCCCAGTGTGCACCGGGCGGACGGCGGACACCGGACACGGTGTCCTGTCCGGACCCGGCGGCCCTGGCGCGGACACGGGCACGGACCTGCCTTGACCCGCCGCGTCGGCCGTACCTGTTCGGCTCGGTACTGACCAGGGAGCTGCAGGGAGCGTGGTCATGGTGGACACTGGATGACGACGTCTTTTCCCAGTGAACACTAAGCACGGACCAGGAAGTGATGTCTTCCGCTCCATAATTTCATCCGTCACAACACAACGTTATGGGATTCGTTCCAATCCCAAGTCTGCTTTTCGCCAAAACACTTATTTTCTACAAGCTCATGATGCCTTTATGAGACCCACTAAAATTGCGGGAACAGGGTTTGAAAATAATGAGGCTCAGTCACAAAACTATAAGTTTATGCCATATTGGCATATTACCAATTACCAGGGAATGGAATACCTATGAAAGATCAAGGATGTAATTTAAGTTGAATATTTGTGCGCCCGGATCCATACCCGGACAAATTCATCTGCACTGCCGTGTTCATCAGCCGTGTTCAACCGCATAGCTAAAAAAAAAAACAGCCGTGTCCCCGTCTGTCGTCATCTGTTGTCAAAGAGACTGTGGCTGTCTGTGCCCGGAGGCAGTTCCGCGCTACGCTAATTACGCTGATTACCCGTCACGCGATGACGCTAGTGACTAGTGAGGTATGAAGCGGTATTTGGGAAAGCGGCCGCGGTGGACAGCGACCAGCGATGGAGTTAAATGGCTATTAATGAGGGATCCAAGGTCGGAAGGGTGGGGAACATTGCTGCCCAGACGCAGTTCTAATCGTTTTTGTCGCCTCCTGGCGTTTCCGCCGTCCTTTAACTGAGGCCGCGGCCCATCCTTGGCTCGGAGACTGTCATTACCCGGCTGACTGAGCTAAGGACGGGCAGAGTGTTAATGAGATACCTCAGACATTGTGACACAGGTGTGTCTCGAGCCTTGGAAACTCGAGATTTAATTATATTCACTTGAGGTAGGATGAGAGACGATTTGTCGCTTACTTGACTTTATAATGATATAAGATGCTGTTCGGGATACGGATCGCACATGGTACCATTCGAAATTCTATGTAGTTTTGCGCGACACAATGGCTCTCTAGGAATATCTTATAAGTTCTGCTAGCTTCGTGACGGATTTGTCAATATTTCGTTTGGCATCCACCCGCAGTGGCACTTCCTATATCAAGTGCTCTCGCGATTCGATGGATGACTCATATTCTGATGTTTTGTTGTACAATGTGCACTTCTCTTATAAAAACATGCGTGCACGATGCGGTGTCACCATAGGGCAACTCG